CGGGGGGAGCTGGTTTTCTCCCTTAGGGTATGGTAAAATATAAGTACTATTTAAGGATGATATTACTTGACTTCATGTAAAGAAAAAGTACATCGAAGACACTTCTGTTGGTACTTTGTTTATGGGAAGTTTCACAGTAATGCAAGCAGGAGGCAGCAGCAAAGAGTATATGGTAAAACTGAAGTTGAGACCTGGAAGTACTTGTACAGCTTTTAACTTTAACACGGTCTGGTCTTGAATATGAAAGTAATGTTTACGGATTTTGTTTGAGACGCAGCGGATGGAGTTGATGTTCTGTTTCTCTATTTGGTGTAAATATGTAGTAATATTTGTGTAATAAGGTCGTAATATTTGTGTAATAAGTTCATAATATTTGTGTAATATCTTTCAGGTTGCTTGGTATTGTATATTTTTATAGTAGTGTTCAGATTCAGCAAAAACAAATGCTGGCTTTTGATTAGGTGTTATAGCTGCAAGTATAAACTCCTTTCACACCAATTAGAAGCTGTGTAGATATGCAAATGTGACTGTCTCTCATTAGAATGTTCTTAAAATTCGGTCATATGTTAAGTGTTGATCTTGAAGTAGGGAGGTTAGGGAGGAAGCAGTGACAGTCCTCTAAAATATGTTTTCTCAGACTTTGTGTATTCCTACTTTGAATGTGCAGATGCCTCTTTTTCCCTTTGCTGTGGCTGTCCTTGCTGCGTCCAGGCACTGTGCCCTCGTTAAGTCAGAGGTGTTCTTTTCTGGAGTAGCTGCTCGAGTTCAAAAGAGGTATTGGAGAGTGTCTCCTTTACAAAACCAAGTGTAACTTTGTTTTTCCTATTGTGAAATTTGTAGTACTGAGGAAGTATTAATTCCAATATCGGTCTGTAAGTTGTGTGTATAAAACAGTGATGCGGCTTTACTTAAGAAGAGAGAATGCGAAAAAGCCTGAAACAAACGTAGGTAGCTCCTTCTGCCCTTTGCACATGGTTGTCTGTCTTGTGATTTTGCCTCATTTTTTTCTTACTGTTCCAATGGGATTGTGAGCTGTGAGCGAGCCCTCTTTACTCCCTCTGCCTCTGCAGTCGATCCATAATGGAGTGGATGTATGGGGAGAAATTAAGTCCTCAGTAATTATACCTTGATAATAAATAGCATCACTAACAGGAAATGACATTTGTCATTAACTGTCCAGGACACTGCGGCTGGCTTTCTTACTCGTCTGGATGCACCTACCTCAAACAAGGATGGGTGAAACACACAGTTATTCTTGCATGTTTTAAGATAATCTTTGAAAATGCCATTTGACAGTCTACTGTAATATTTTCTAAGTGTGAATATAGAACAAATTACAGCCGAGAGACCGGGACACTGCTTCAAGGAGTCTACAGAAGGGAGGCTGTTAGCCAACTTCTTGACCTCCGCAACTGCAGGGCATTTAAAGTTCTGTTCATTCCCATTTGCAAGAAATAGCCTTAGGCACCCAGCCTTAGTGCTGATTGCTTCTTCAGAGATTAAAATCTTAAATGTAAAGGACTATACCGTTTGTGTTCTTTAAAGTGTAAGACATGTAACATAAATGGCCCAGAACTCTGAGATCTTTTTAGCATGTGGGAAGAGCCAGAAAATCCCTTATAAAGTTGTTGAGGCTTAATAGAGCAGTTTGTAAATGTGAAACAATGGAAATGTTAAATGGAAAATTATTTGTGCTTGAATGTTATAGGTGTTTTCATTATATGTAGTAGTCCTGGTATTTTCGCAAATACTTCTGATTTGCAGTTTTTGGCTCAATGCAGTTTGAAGTCCCAGAACATTTGTTAACGTTTTGATGCGATTTGGTGAATGATTCTTTTTTACTGTGATTTGTGTTTTGGTATATGAGAGTGTTTTTACTAATACAATTTGTACAGCTTCTTTGAAGACTTCTTTTAAGGTCCAAATGTTCTATAATTTGGTGATATCTTGATGTAGTGGTAGGAAGCTTTAATATTAGTTATATGCGCTTATGTTTATTTTCGCATTGTAGCGATGACTGATAATGGTGAGGTACATGTGGTGTGTGTGAACAGCTTTACTTATGATGTCTAAGTGGAGAGATGTTTCATTTGCTTGAGGTATAGCCTCTAAAAAGTGAAACAGTCAAGTCCTTAAGTGAGTTGTAGTTTATTTTAAGAGTATATTTCTGTGTAAATACCATTTTTGTACCTTCACACACCTGCCAGCTGACTTGACTTGCGTGGGCGGTGAGGGCTGAGAGTGTGTACCCAGCTCCTGCTACCCCTCGCTCCTGCAGCAGTGCTGGCCATGGAGCAGCAATGCTGTCTCTCGCTGCTGGGAGCAGCAAGAGATGATTTGGTGAGTGGCCAGCTCAGTCCACTTGTGGGTGTGGGTGTGAACTCCTCAGGTTGCCTAAAACTGGTATCCCGTATCTGTGATCTCCTCAAGTATATCTATCTATGGTCTTTTGGGATGGGCAAGGGGGGCTTGCAGGAGTGGAGGGGTGGCTTCAGGTACCTGAGCCAACAGGGAGCAGGCTCCCCTTTTACCTGCAGCAGGTACACAGACAAAGAATAACCAATGCATAAATGGTGATGGTAACCCTCAGAGGTCTTTACAAGCCACCTTATCTCTTCTATTTGGGCTTGCTCTGATACTTTCTCTTGCATACAGTGGACATTGGGCACAGGTATATACAACTAGACCATTTGTGGTAGAGGGGATATACTGTCTCCTGCGCTTAGCAACTCTCCTCCCAAGATCCCTGTCACAAAAAGTAACAGCTTTAGTTTCGATGTCCTTAGAATAGGACCAAAAATCCAGTATTTTCTTATCTTAGATCTAAATGAATTGAAGAAGTATACACTACTTCTTTGTGATGGTAAGTTACATGTGTCTCTTATTTCAGCAGTGTAGCAAGACTCATTCATAGTTCTGGACTTTAACAAAGGTGCCTGCTTTATGGGTAGTGGTTGATCATTTTGGATCCAAATTGGTGCAATATTAAGTGTGTGCTTGTTGTGTTTCTTCCATGTCCACTCTTCCTGCCTTTCTGAATTACTTGCAGAGCCTAATATCAAAGTCTTTCTGAAATGTTGAAACCTTTAACAGAATTTTAGTGCCCTTTTGCTTGTTTTAGGAGGGGGGTATAGCCTTTCTGCTCCACAGGGAAGATGCTGTCTAGACATCTTATGTCCAAAGTAATCCTAAAGTACTTTTTCGGATTTGTGAGAATAATGCTATATGCAGCTCAAGTATGAACAGTGTTTTGGACTGAATTTTTTTTACCCATAAATGGTATGTTTTCTGTGCAGCTCCCCATTTGTACGTTGTCATCTAAAACCAAGCAAGGCATTGCATTAAAGGTAGATGTCCTGCTTAAATAGTTTGATTTAGGCCTTCAGCTTCACAAATCAGGTCAAATTCTATTTAAGATACCAAGGGAATTCAGTCTTTCATGAAAGGGATGAACTTTGATGGAAATCGAAGTCTGTTGTCTTCTCAAGGTAATATGATACCCCTTTTAGACTAGGGCAGAGACAAGGTTGAGCATTTCATCATCTCTAGCATACATTAGTTCAGGGAGCATCTGAAGTTTATAAAACCTAGAAGAGGGTAGCACCATTTTAATGAGGTGCATACCTAAACTGAAGCCTGTACCATTATTTATGTACTGTATGGAATCTATCAGAGATTAATGCAGGAAGGTTCAGTGGAAGGAGTGCAATTCATGGGGCAGTTTTAAAAGCCCATTTAAAGAGCACAGTTTGTAAAAGTGAGTCTTGTACATGGAGGAATGTGAAAGGGTATCAGAGCTGCTACATTTGGTGGAACTCCTTATTGTCACTATCGTCTGACAGGGGCTCAGAGATTAAAAGGGCTGTAGCATGTTTGATGGCACTTCTCGTACTCAATCTCTTGTATGTGTACCCTGCAGTGGAGTGCTATAAAAAGGCAGACAGTGGTTTTCTGGAAAGGTCAAAAGACATGTACTGGTTTTAATCAGAAAATAAACAGTATTAAAATTAGCTGGAAAACTTTTTTTTTCAGCTTGTTGTAGGAAAATGCTACCTAGGTCCTTGTTTGAATATTCTCCAGTGCTCAAAGGTGTAAGCACTGGGTGGCGGAGGGAGGGGAGATTGCCTTGAGAAAGGTGATCTCCAGAAATAGCAGAAGGGGAGATGCTCTGCCTCTGTCATGGGCTGGAGCCGCACACAACCAGTGACAGCTGTGCAGCTGTACTGAGGAAGAGGTGGAGGAGGTTGCCCAGTTACAGTCTGCTTCACCTGTTTTTGTGTTGTTTTTTTTTAATAATCGGAAAGTTGACCTGGGAAGTGGGAAAGAGACAAGGATTTGCTGGATGTTCCTGATGCTTTAGGTCTTTCATGTTCTTCCATTTTTGAAGAGTGCAGCAAACAGTACAGCTGAGTATTTGCAGCTGTCAGTCCTTTGAGCACTTAGGAGTTGTCTTGTCTTTTCTCACTTGTTGGCACTTTGTTAGCTACAGAAACGTCTAGTAGCACTGAATGGTGCTTATGAATGTTTGTCCAAATAGATGGACAAATATTTTTGGCGACATCTGCATGGAGGATGAATTCCCTCCCTTGTATAAGGGGATTAAAGAAGGTTTTTCCTTTTTGGTTAGAGAAATAAGAAGTAGGGGAAAGAGCACAGCCACCAGTACCAGCAGCACAGATGAGCCCAGTGTGGGGATATGGGTGAGCCTGGAGACTGCAAGCAGCTCTCTGTGGTTTTTGCCCTTCTGAAACATCCTCTGGAAGGGGGAGCTATCAGGAAATTGCTTAAGGGTTTATTTAGTTCTGGTTGGTTTGGTTTTTGTGCCCTGATTAGACACCAGTACGTGGGACCGGTGGAGTTGTCCCACTATATAAGCCAGGGTACACTGCAGAGTGTTGCAGCAGCAGATAGACGTGGTGAGGCAAGTTCTGACTTTCTTAATATACAGTGGCAGGGAGTCCAAGCCAACATTGTGTTGTTTGGATTCTCAAGTGGGGAGAGAGAAACAGATACTTTAAGCACTGGGAAAGGATGGTAGCAAAAGTATGTTGCTGCTGGCACTGAGTACAAGCAAGGGGAGACAAGCCTGTTGCTCTGAAACAAGCTAACTCCTCCTGGGGTGCTGGCAGCAGACTGATCCTGTGCAGAAATGTCCCAAGACTGTTCTCCATGCCTTCAATGAAAAAAATAAATACATTGTGCACTCTATTTGACTTTCATAGATTTCTGCATCAGACTAAAGGTGTCTGTGTTTCTCTAGATACTCTGTTGGATGAATAAAAAATCTGGACCACAGGGATGGATTTGCCAGCTACGCGGTATGTGGAGAGCTCTGTTAGATCATATCTGAACCGAGCTTCCACAGTCCTTTTCAAGTTTGGAGCCAAAGTTGCCTAAGAGGTTGTAAAATCCCTTTTCCACCATCCCTCCTCTGCTTGTCTTTCTCCCCCTTGTCCACTTATGTACACATATTCTCTGTGACTACTGCTTTTAAAGCTGGTGGTATTGCTTGTTGTCTGCCAAAGACAAGCGCAGAAGAGCTCTATGGGGATCTCTAGCATCTGGGCATCTCTTAACTACGTTTGTGACAACAATTTCTTTTCTCCCTTACCTGCTGTATTTACACTGTGCTAAAAGTATGCTCAGTGCCTCACAGAACAAATAGTTTGAGAGCTCTCGTCTGTGTCAAGGGAGTCTGAGCTGAAGGCAGAGGAGATGTATTGGTGTAGAGAGAATTTCATGCAGGTATGTAGCTCTTTGCCAGTGCTAATCATACAAAATTGTTGGGGTTTTTTTGGTGTGCATAATTTAGTTATTTAGCTTATGAAAGAAATTTCAGTTAGGCATTTGAACAAAACCAGGTTGAATAATGATGATGAATGTTTTCAGGAAGAGTACTCCAGGCTTGAAGGGGGAAGTGGAAAACAGTACAGAGGTTTCAGTGAGCTGAGTTCACCAAAATGTTTAAACAATTTGTTGAATTCTTGTACTACTGTAAATATGTACTAGTAAACAACTAAAACTGGCAGTTTTACTTAAAGACAGAAATGTAAGCACTGCGAGCTGTATTTTTTATTTATTTGAATATAACATTAAAATACCCTTTTATGTGGGAAGACTGGCATTTTAAGAATATTTAAAGCTGTTAATGGCCAGTCAGCCGCTTTGCTGAACTGCTGACTTCACACATACCATTTCCTTTTTCAGGTTTTTACAACCCCACATCTTCTGACTTTTAAAGCAGGATGGGGAGGGAGGGAAAGAGGAAAAAAGCTATTTTTATTTTCCACTGGTAGCCATAAAGCAGCTCTAAACTTTAATTTTTAAAATTATTGTCAAATTAGTAAATGTTGAATCTACATGACATAAATTGTTTCTGTTGTGTGTTGATAGAAGCTATGCTGTTTAATTCAGAGATCTTACTTTTTTGCTGTTCTCATTTATAAGTATTTATTTCTTGTTTCAGGAGTTTTTGGGAAAAAATTGTTGGTCTAAACCTTGTTAGTGTTGCTTTTTCAAATACACAATGCCTTGCTCCGTACTGAATAGTACGGTTTGAGAGTTTAGGGAGATTTTTGTAGTCTTGAAATGTATGACTTACTGTAATTACAGTTGCTCATATACTAAAGCAGATCATAAACTTAACCTGGAGAGAGGGCAGAACATTTACAGGCAGTATTTTACTGGTGACAGTTTAAAAGTTTGTTTATGCTAATCACTTCATAAATAGCGAGCAATACACTGTTGGTGACTTTCTGAGGAATTTTGCAAGTGCAGAAGATTTTCTTCTCGATACTAAGGCAAATGACATTACAAAATGGTATTTGTAAAGCACTAAGTACCCACTTTCTTCCTTTAACAACTTAAGAAATAGTCACTTAGTTGTTGTAATAATACATATGGCTAGCTAATATCTGCTCTTTTGAAAGCCCGTAAATTTGACAAAAGCCGATCTCTCTTAGCTCAGTTTTTATCGGCCGGAAGAGAAGGTGTTCAGATATATCAGCTCATTAGAAGTTCTGCTGTATGAAAACATGGAAGTTTCATTTCCTTTCCTTGAAAGAATCTCACTCTTTTTTTTTTTTTGCACAAGTATGGGAACTAAAAGGGATTCCAACTTGGATCAAATTCCTTGTCAGAACACCGAGTAATGATATATTTGTTTGCATAAATGAAAGAAGACCTGATCTTTATGTGTTGTTTTGACATCATATGTGTGTAATGCTGAATAATACTGATTTTACAACTACAAAGCTTGTGTTACATTTTATAAACTTCCAATACATTCGTGTAAGTTTTTTTTCTCTTTCAGCCTTTGAGATCTTACTTTTCTATAATGATGCCACAGTATGCTTTAAAAGGTGTGAACTGATTATCTCTACTACAGAAATAACGAAGTATATGCTGTTGTGTCTTGAAGTACACTAAACGAGTCTACACAGTGGGTAACTTGCTGGAAAGTAAATTTTCAAGTATTGGAAATTTGGAAGTATTGCATGTTCTAGAAATACCCCTTTTAATTCTTACTCTCTTTATTTGCCTCTTTTCAGCCCCCTAAAGACTTGTGAAAATGGTGTGAAGTAGGGTTTTTATTTAAGAGATAACAGATGAATAGATGATTAGGTTTAAAAAAAGGTATTCCAGACTCATGAAGGATAACTTTGAAGGAAGGCAGTTAAGTCACACTTGCTTGGGAAGTGACTGGTGCCTGTAGGTTAGGTACATGTTACCCATGCCTGGAAGCTGGAGCGGGAAGCACGGCTGCCGGACTGTGTGTCGGTCTGTGGAGGAGGCTGTGCATATTTAGTGCTTCCCAGTGCAAGTTTATCTTGACAGCATGCCCGCTCATAAAAATAGATAGCCCAGAATTATGGAGATAAATATAATATTTAAAAGAAGACTAAGCAACCAGTAGATTGTGGATTTAGTCCCCACCAAAAAAATTAAGATTTTTCTGTCAATGACTCTGCATCTCATTCTCAGAGGTAAGACAGAGACACCAATTTTAGAGCCGATTAGCTTTTTGACCCTAGTGCTGGTATATAAATGAGGCTGTGCATGATTTGTTTCAGGACGTTCAGCTTGTTTGAGTGCCTGGCTTACAGTGAGAAGAATAATGGAGATGCATAGCAGACAAAACAGAGAATGATTTTGACATTTTCTGTAGAATACTAGCTTCTCTGAAATGCAACAATACACGTCCTTTGAGTAATTCTTTCAAAATGAGAAGAGCAAAGTTAGACAGGAAAAATGTTTTCCCTCCTGTTCTCTGACACCGAGTATTAGGTAGTAGCAATGCAGAGAGGATGAAGGCTTAGGCTGGTCTACTAATATACTTTCTGACAAAGGGCTCGCACAGTGGGAGGTGGCTAGAAGAAGTGATTTGGGGATTAACAGTAAAAACTTCAGTAGGGTATTAAAGGCAGATGAATGCTTTCCATCTGATTTTTTAAAAAGTAACTGATGTAAGGGACGCTAATCAGAGAAAGAATAAAACTCAGTTTACAGGATGAATTGAGGTGTAAGTGATGTAAATAACATACTTCATGAGTGTGGAGATCCTTCATGCCTCTTTAAATTGAAGATATTTCGATTATGAATCCAATGTTATCCTAGGTTCATGGATTTTTTTTCTCAGCTTTTCCAGTTTCGTTAATTTACAGCAAACAGTTTCTCACTGGTGTCCGATATGGATTCTGTACTGCCATTCCCTAAATCAGTGGGTTTTGGCTGTTTTCTGTCCGTGACTGACAGTCACTATGCTTAGCTTCGTCTTTGTAACTTTGGTTTTCATTGTGCTGCTTTGTGCGCCCTAACGCCATTACGCTTCAGCCTTGCCATTGCATTTCTTTGTTCGCTCGTATATTCCTGACCTCGTTTTGTTTCATTTTTCCCCCTTCATTTCTAGAAGCTGCTTGATTAATTTCTTAACTCCAGCTTTCTGTATCACTCACTCAGCTTGCTTGCCCAGGCACACATACAAGAACGCCTTGAGCTCTGCCCTTTTTGCGTTATTTTGCCAAAAGGTCCCTGGAGGTTCCTCCCCTGTATTTGCTGGCATTTTTCTTCTCTTCTATGGTGGGTGTGCTGTGGGTTGAGCCAGGCTGGTGATGGCAAGTGCAATGTAAGAGGACTCTTGTGTTGGTTAGCAAAGGACATAACTGCCTCGCTTACAGTTTGCCACTTAATTACGTGAGGCGATAGAAAGCTGTTCCTAGGTCTGCCCCTGCAAAAGAAGTTACACTTTATTTCAGACTGACCCTACTCTGTTTTGGAGGTAACTGGTTTTCATTTTGCTGGGATTCAGCAGCATTGCAGTCTAGCATTGTGGTATCTAGCGGTTGTTAGATAGAGGCTCAGAAATACAATTCTTGAATGTTTTCTGTGACAAACTACCATCTACAAGCTAATTTAATAGTGGCTTTAAATTTAATACTTAGGTGTAACTGACTTTTAAGTAGCACCTCTTCAAAACAGTAATATATTGTATTCCTGCAGTTGGGTTTGCCTCCTTTCAAACAGTGTTCTCAGAACTTTCAGTTGTCTTATATTTTTAACAGGCTGGTAGGCATGCTGTAAAATAGCCTATCTGGTACAACACAGGCTAATGAAAAGCTGGAATCCTTTTTATGTTCTGACAGATGCTCCGGTTGTGCTAAACTTGATGACTATCACTGCGGGGTTGGAATCTTTATTACTGCACCAAGTGCAATCTGGTACTTGGAACAAAAAGATAAAAACCACGCACTGTTTTAAAGTAATCTGTAAAAACAGTTACTTCGACTCCGCATCACCTTTCATGATTTACTGCTTGCAGTGGAAAAGCTTTGAATTTTGGGGGGAGTCTACGAAAGTATCAAGTATTTCAAATTTATTTGATGGCTTAAAAGGATTTCTGTTCTTCATCCTGATGATCACTTATGCTATGAATGCTATTGTGTAGCAAAACCTGCTTATTTTATGGTAGTATTCAGTTTTACTTATAACTGCTTTCAAGTCTCAATCTTGAGAGTTTTTGTAATAACTGTCCAGCACATTCACACACAGCACACGCGCGCGCACACACACACACAATGAATTATTCAGTCAGTGGCGTTTTTAAAACCATATTTAATCAGTTTTAGCTGTGGGACTTGCACTGTATAAAGTTTTCATCATGCAATCCATCACCATAGTGTGCAAGTTCCTCAAGATTTCACTGAAATGTCACAATTTCAGGAAAATACTCAGCTATGTGACGCCTCTCTTGTTATATGTGATACATATGTGTAATTTTTTTTTTTTTAGCGTGCGAGTATAAGAGTCAAGAAATTCCAAGTAGATAACTTGCTTTTCAACTATTCCTTTTATGTAACACTGGAAAGGCGTAGCTTCTGAAAATGTTACCTTTGGGAAAATTAATCTTGGAAAAAGTATGCACATATTTAAATTAAAAAAAAACCAAAAACTTGAACTTTTGGTTATGTCAGCTTTAACCTCATGGGAGTTCCTAGAAGGGAAATGATCAAAGAAGATAATTCAGAAATTTGAATGTATTTTTACCCATTATTACTTGAAAAGTTAATGGAAAAGGTTAATAAACTTGCTGGCTTTGTTGCTTTGAGGCTAAAAAGCTTCAAATGAGTTTGACTTGAACTGAACACAGTCAGAGTTAAAAAAAACCTAGATGCTGGAGTAGAAAATCACAGTAGCACACACACAAAAAAATAAAGTTTGTTTTTGCTGTTTTACAATAGTTTAACTGATCTGGCACTTCTAGTTTCTAAACTCTGCAAGAATGTGCCTTGCTGCTTTTTATCTGCAGTTAAGGTTTCCCTAACAGGTTCTCTGTGCTCTGTTACAAGTCGTAGAGGGCAGGGGTATCGGAGAGCACTTGGGCCTTTGTCTAGATTTCTTCCATCAGTGTTTTGTTCCCCCTTCCACTGTAGTTGTGCAAGATAGTGTGTTTTACCCAAAGGTGTTTAAATCGATGATTGTTTAACTCTGTGCAAGTGAGGCAGGACGAGTGGGTTATGTATAAAAGTATTTCTTACATTTTTCAGTAGTGTTTGTTGGGGAAAAAAGGAATAAAGCACATTTTATATCTTTCTTTGTATTAGAAATCCACAGAAAATGCAAATCATTTTACAAGGAACTGTCTAAAACAATGAAATAAAGTTTGGGTTCTGTACCCTTGCTACTTTGATATATCCATTGTTTACACGCTGTTCTTCTACACATAGTTTGTTAAATGTTTGCAACTTAAAACCAGTGAGATAATTATACACCAATACAAAAAAAAATAATCCTCCTTTCCAAAAAAAGAAAACCCAAACCCCAACAACAACCTCCCCCCCTAACTTGTATTACTACTCCACAGGAAACTGTTGTGCTGAAAGGAAGAATTAACTGGTCTTTCAACTTCAGCCTTTTTATTGTGAGAGGGGAGATCACAGAAGTGTCACCATGGGGAGAACAGCAGCTAAAGGTAAGGCCTGGTAACTTTTATCCAAGAGGAAAGAAAATAGGGAACCTGTTAAATTTTCTTTTGAAGCTGGTGGGATTACTATACTGTTAGATTAAAGAAGACAGTTTATGATATGAGTACAGGTAAGTTCAAACTTCACGTTGTTTTAGAGTAAGTATGCAAAATTTGGCTTATCCTGGAGTTCTACAAGTTCAACCAAAGCAATTTTGTCCTGTGACAGCCTTGAAGCCATTATACTACTCTAAAATTGAAGAATGCATCTAGGGTGTGATATTAAATAAAATGTAGTGCTTTATTCTGTAACTGCATATAATTTAGTAGGACAATAACTGAGTAGTACAAGGAATCAGATTTTATCACAGTGAATGGCATTAGCAGCTGTCTCTTGAAGATAAAATTAACATTTTTAAAGAAATTAATCCACAAATGCACAATGTACTGCGAAAGTGTGATTTCTGCTGTGTCATGTTTGCAGACGTTTTTTGTGAATTAAGTGCTTTATTTAAGTGTTTATTATTTCACTCTTTATTCTAAAGAGTGAAAGTTAAGAAGAAACAAGAGTGTTTGGGTTGGTGAAACAAAGAGAATGTGAAGAGGGAAAGACCCACGGTCTGAAACCAGGTTGCTGCTGTTTTTCAGAGCTTTTAGATGGGTAGTCCTCCCCCATAAAAGGCTGCTAACACTTTTGTACTTTTCTTGAGCTTTCCACCTTCAGCCCAAGCTGCTTATACGCTAGTGCACTCCCTTGGTAAATAATTGTCTTTTGCTTTAATAGATTTTCTGTACTGGCAGGAGTCATCCGTTTAATTGTCGCACCAAGAGTTTATGGAGGAAGTCTGTCCCCTTCTCTTGTAGGTTTTCTGCATGGCTGTTGTCTAAACATACTAAAAGAGACACCCGGTTCTGGGCAGATAAGATAAGAATCCCACTAGGGAAGCACAAAAAGAAGGGAAAGGAGACATTTCATAGTCACTCTGTCTTGCTATCCCCAACTGTATGCACTGAGGATTGCTGAAGGGTGGCTAAAAGGTGCTCACAACCCTGTGTAGTAGGGAGTGAAGTAGATTCCTGGGCAATGGTAAGTCTTGGACTTGTATTAATAAACCTAGTCTGAAGGCGAGTAACTGCATGGCATGGGAGGAGCAAATGTTTCTGTCACCCAAAGATATTTCATATCCCTCAGGAAGAGACAAGGGCTTTCTTTGAGAAAAGTGGCCTCCTGCCTTGTTTTGAACACCTGTCAGTTGAAGACTTTAAGGTGGCTAAGAAATAGCTGCAGAAATTTTGAAAGCGTGACTGTGAACTGCTTTTTCCCCACAGTGGACAGCAAGCAAATAGCAAGTCTTAGAAGATAACAGGTATATGCCTTCTCGTGTAGCACACCATTCTGTGGTAAAAACTAATACTGTCAAAAAACGTGATGCTTGCCAGCACACAGGCAAAGCAATCATCTTGTTTGTTGAAAGGTTAACTCTTCCCAGAAATAAGTGTTGCAGATTTTTAAAGCATCTCAGACAAGAAGCTGGCATTCAACATAGGAGTTTATAAGAGGAACTGTACATTGGTCACTGGGATTATCTTTACCAGACCTTATATTCTAAAGGTGCCTTTTCTGATTGTCTTTTTTGTTTGTTTGTTTTGGGTTTTGTTGGTTTTGGGGTTTTTTTTTGTATTCACAAGTCAGTCAAGATAGCTTTGTCTTTTTTCTTCCTTGTCTCTTAATTTCTTGCATGATAGATGTGGTTGGTCTTGCCTGTCTTCTGTTGAGTAATCTTATCAGCAGAAGAATTCTGTGGTTACAGATAGGGTGGGAGTAATGTAAACACATGGAGTTTTGAATTGGTAGGCAGAAAGCACCATGTTAAATAATCTTACTCTAATCTTGTTTTGTATCTACAGCTTTAATTTATGAAGTGCGCTTTAGAAAAACAGTTAGTTGGTGAACAATAGAATATGCTGCTTTTATAATTTGAGTATATGCTGGATTCTAATCTTGCTACCTAGAAGAAAACAATCTTTCATGGGGAGTTTTGAAGATAAGTATTTAGCCTGTATGTATTATAGGCTAAATGTATATATATTTACATAATGAATATATAAACTCTGTACACTTATATATACTACTATATTTTTGAAACTTTCTTTGAAAATGGTATCCCATTCTTTGTTGTTTTGTTTTTTTTTTAAAGAGAGCTAAGTAGCATGTGATTAAGTCCATAGTAGCAGCATTTCATTTTTCTTCATGTTTTGGCAAAATGATCTAAACCTTACTGTGTTTTACATTGGAAAGTAGACTGAAACTTGTCTCTCTAAAAATGGACTTTATGAATAGAGGAAGACAGATAATGAATTAAACTGACGTATTTTTTGGTCACCATGAGCTTCAATACTCTAGCACTAATAAGTCAGTTCTGTCTCTCAATATATGAATAAAGTTCCCATTTTCAAGTCCACTTTTCAGGTTTCAAGGAATTAGTCATTGAATGTGGCTAGGTGCAGGAGATGAAAGGAAAGTACTATTTGTACCTGCAGAAGTATTTCCCTCTTTCACAATCTAATTTTTGAGGTTTGACCTCAAAGTTTGACCAAGCTGAGGGTCATATGCTGTGGGAGTCATATTCCTCAGCTGAGTGATTTTTGATATAATAGTCTTCCATGTCCTAATGTTGTTTTCAGTGGTCTTTTGAAACTAAATTTACTAGAATTAAGGATATCAGAATTTCAAATGTAGATTGGCATGCATTAAAAAAAAGAGGGGGGCAAAAAAGCGCATGTATTTCATATTTATAAAATTGGATTTTAATAAAATATTATTTTCTTTAATATTGATTTTGAAAATAAATCATGAAGTCTTATCCACCCTAACTACTGACATTGGAAGAGGCACACCAAACCAAGGCATCGTAGCAACTGTGAAGTATAGACTGGGGGAAAGTTTTCTGAGGTGGTAGCAGATACAGGGTATCTCGTGTAAAAACAGGTTAGTAATTCTTGCTGCTATTAGCCTTTCATCTGCTTAGACAAAACACTCCAGCTTTGTAACGGTCTTCCCAGCGTTGAAGGTTGGAATGCATAAAAGCAAGGGGAGCCTTTGAAAAAAATCTTAATTTTATTCAGACTTATTTTTGGATGCTTCTGCGTGTGCTGGGTGAGTTTTACTTGAACGTTTTAAAGAGTAAATTTCTGGCCATCAAAACCAAGTGATAATGACGGTGCTTTGGGTTTATTATGAATGAAGAAGCCTCCATCTCAAATGAAAGATGTTTAAGCTGCTATTGAGGAATCCATTTCTTCTCATTAATGTCATCATCTCTTCTTGTTGTCATAGTTTTCTAATGGCTGATGATAAGAAAAATGGGTTACCGAGAGTGTTCCATTTCAGCGTTTGTATTTGCTGTGATACTTGTGAGAGAGGCACTAAACGTAACTGGTACAGGAAATAATTTGGGTGGTGGTTGCCAATGAGAACGCATCTGGTGTCCAGGCTGTGGTTTTTCACATTCTTTCACCTGTTCTTGGTGTCTCTCATCATGAAAGGCTGTCATCTCATTTGAAATCTGGCCCTGTGGGGTAGATACTCTTTCGTGACTCCGTTCTTTCAAGCTTTGGGTGTTCACAGGAAGCAGTTATTAGTTCTGTTCTATAAGTCTCTTACGTGGGACTCCGTTGGATTTCCTCTTCAGAAATAAGCGGATTGGGAAGTTATCTCTTCTGTAAGCAGTCAGCCTGATGTTTGTGACAGTCTCGTGACTGTTTTTGGGAAAGCCTGACTAACTGAGCTTGTAGAACATGGCAAAAGGCTCTGCTGGTGATTGCCACTGCCCAGGAGAAAACTAGCTGGATTCAGTTCAATCCCAAAGAGGCTGGATGGAATATATTTTGATCTGTAGGAGGAAGAAGGCGAATGTTAGCCTTGTGTCTTGTCATTGTTACTGAACTAGTTTTAACACTGTCCCTTCTCAGATTCCCACTGGTGGTAGTTGTCAGGACGTAGGGTGTCCACTTGTGCGGGTTAAAGCCCTACTCCTGAGGAGGTGCTGGGGTTTTAGAGCTCTGTGGGCCCCATCCAGAAGCATTTCAGCAGGTCCATCTGAAGTTGACCTGCATAAGGATTTTTCTTTGGGAACCTATCAAGTAGATGTTTCAAAGCAAACTTTTTCCAAAAGAAAGAGCATGTAAGTCAAGACAGAAGACTAAGTCAAAGAGTAAACATAGCATTTTCTTTCCTTTTCAAAGTATCTGCAGTACTCTCCATATCTGCTCTAGGAGAGACAGGTGATATTTTTGCAGGACATTTTGAGCAGGTGTATTTTCTAGGACTGCGGAGCCCGGGTTATTCTTGGAAGGCGTCTTGGCCCTGAGTACACTAATAGGTTTTAATAGCCCTGACCAACCTCACCTGGGGCCTCTCCCTTCTCTGCCCAGGACCCCACGTTGGCCTCCCAGGCCATCAGACCCTGCGCCAGCGATGCCTGAACAAGGCCGGTCTCCAGCTCCCCGCAGCCCTGCCCTGCCTTGCCATGCACCCTGCCCAGCTGGGCCCACCCGTGGGCCCGTGTCCTGTCCCAGCCTTGACCTGTCCCCACGGAGGGTGCCCGGTGCTGGGGTGGCCCTGGCTGGTGAGGCCCTGCCCGGCTGCCCCTGAGGGGGCCCTGGCCGGTGAAGGAGCACCACATCCTACCCGGCACAGAGCCAGGTGGATGGCTTATCCCCTCCTCACTGACTGAGCGGGGAGGATTTGGGGATTGATGACAGAAGATCGTCATCATTCAGCTCTTGCCGTACATGGCGATTCCTCAGTGAATAATGAAATAAGTGGGTCAGCAATGACGAACGTCACACATTGCTCGTCGGTACTCTCTGTTTCAAGAAAAGCCTTACAGAAAACTTAGAAGAGAAGCACTGTTAGGGCTTAATCTTTGCTGCAGAGCAACTCGTATCTCAAGTGTTTCTGTATCACCAAATGCTTCTTATTCTAGGTTAGGAGTGTTATTTCAAGCGCAAGCCAAGGAACAGCTGAAGACTTAAGTGTAAGCAAATACAGGAACTGGCTGCCAGCACAATCTTTCTGTACAAGTGGGCCATCCCTTCACTTGTAACAGTTCAGGCTAGCTGGGGTGACCCAGGGTATGAGCTGAGACACACACCTTCCCAGAGGAGCGGCCCCGTTCCCGGTGCTGAGGCGCTTGTGAACCAAAAGAGTTATTCTGCCACACAGAGCTTGATAACCTTTTTAATTCTACAAAACTTGCATTTTGCTTGCCAACTCAGTGTCATATTTGAATTGCGCTTGAGTCCATGACTGTCAAAAGCAGGTCACCAGACCAACGTATTTTAAAGACTATAAGGAATGAGTGGAACTGGTTCCCTCAGTGTTCTCCATTCTAGCCTCCCAGTCCACCTGTGTCTCTATGTTGCGAATGAGTGGTTTGGACTGCTTAAAGAATCACCGTCAGGGGTATTAGCAAAAATGGTTTAATAGGAATTTATAAAAGCGCGACTTCACAAAGTTTGATGGCAAGGTTCACTCTGTTACTTAATGCGTGGATGAAACATACAAAGGAAGATCAAGTTAGAATCAATCTAGAATTATTTATACAGAGACTGCAGGTGCAGAAGGGTAAGAGAGAAACACACAAAGGAAAATTAAGTTAGAATTGATTTTTCATGATTTGCAGAGAGATTGGAGGTGTAAAAAGGTAGGGAAGACCCTCCCATTGAGTCATGAGGTTCAGAGGAGGCTCCCTTGCTTTCTAAACTCCTGATGGAGCTCAGGTGTGGCTGGATCCACTCCTAGTCCCAGACTTGGGCAGTGGTTTACATCTAAATGTATTGTGTAGCAGCATTCTGAGATTCATTTGCAGTTTGAGGTGAATCACCAGATGTAGCAGAATTTGATCATTTTAACATTTCCAAAGTGATTCAGTAGAATTTACTACAATCACAACAGTGACTTAGTGATAAATTCGAAAGGGCAATATTTATACTGTACTTGCTGTAGGATACCTGGGTCAATTCACACACGTGTGCACACAGACACTAAGATAGATATAAAGAAAGGTATACCTGTTAAAAGTTCCCCTCGAGTTCAGTGAAATATTCACGTCAAATGTCTCAGCATTTTCTCAATGGGCAAAGGGTATCAGCCCAGGTCCCATCGTCAGCTTTTGGCAACGGTCCTCCCATTTTCACAAACTGGAGAGTTCACGAGCTGTGAGAGGCAGCCCCCTCAGAGGGAGATGCTCGTTGCAGCCCACTGTGATCCAGGAGAGCTGAAAGGGCCTTACTTAGGACTGCTGTTTATAGGTTCAGAAGATGATTGGCTTTAGTCATCAGCAAATTACTGGAATTCCAGTAACACTGGTACTGTTTCACTCGAGCTGTGATCCAGACAAGGGATGTTCCGAGGCTGTCAGGGGGTGACTAATTATTCCTGCTTTCGTTCCCTGCCTCTGCCAAGCAACAGGAATTCTTGGTACAGCCAGCGCCTCTCCCCACCTTAGCCATGCAAGAGTTCCTGGTATGATCAAGGGACGTGTAACCGTCCAACTCATTACACAAAGGCCAAGGCCTAACGGGAATTCCTGAGATCGTAGAGCAGCCTGGGGGGGGAGAGGAAAGGGGAGAATGCACCACCACACATACACGCTGAAATCCGGCAAAAATTAAATATGACGGACTCCTTTCTGTATGTGTGTAGAGATGAATGATCGAGAAGGTAGATTCTTCTGAATGTTTTTTGTTTTTTTTTTTTTAAGAACTGACATATGCACTGAGGTAGCTGCTTGCATTTCAGTATTCAAGATTTTAAATATAAAATGGAATCTTTAACTCAGAAATACGCTTTTAGGGTGGGTTTGGGTTTTTTTCTTGTTTCTCAGTTCATAGTGGTCTAGACAAGATTTAAAAAGATATCCAGTGATCTTGAGGATCTCAAATTGTGTGTAGGTTGAGTAAAGCTGTTAAAAATTAGGACAGGGTTGCTCTTTGTGGAGCTAATACTACATTTTCTGCAGATAGATTTATTCTGATATGTAATGTAAACTAGTCAAAAGCTTTGCTTTTTCTTGCTGTACTTAATATATTTTGATAGAAAAATAGTGCAGTGATTAAGTTTGTGGTACAAATACCTTTTTGATTATGCACTGAGTAAAAAGAAAGTCAATATTTGGAACAAGACATTCTGTATTGTTTGAAAGCATTCTGTGTTATGCTGGACATCATTATGATGTGAATATTACATTTATTATGTAATGGAATCTTGTCTTTTAGATTCAAAGAATATTAAAAAAGAGAAAGATGGAAAGAATCAGCAGGCAAACAACCCGTCTTTAAAAAGTGGTAGGTATTGCAGCTGTCAGGTTATTAGTTAAGGTACCCTAAAAGAAAAAGCATCTATTTGGATTGTACTATTTCCTGAGGATTTTTTTTTTTTTCAATCTCTTTAGCTATTACTCGTGGGTAGTTAAAAACATACCTTTGCTTTTGTCTAACTCTGTTAGGAAAGTATGTTTTGGTATTGAAAATGATGGTTGAAACTGCTTGACTTGAGCCTGATAGCTTTACTAAGCCAAGATAAGTACTCTTTGTATATATAATCAAAGATGCTGTGTAAACATTAATATTTTTTTTAGATCATTACTGATTTGTCTGTTCTTCTTATCATGTATTTCCCAGTTTCATGCCTTTTCTGCCGCAGTTATCTTCTCTTTCCTTAATGTGTTTGCTGATGCCAAAAAAGGATTTTCAGGTTAAGTGTCTAGAATTTTTAGGATTGCTAACTGGATTAAATTGCCTGGGATTCTAATTTTACTTAAACAAATGTTTTCAAATCAGTTGTGTTTTTATAGTAAGCTAAGGAAACTACACACTTGCCAGAAATGATCCAGCTCCTTATCAAACTTAGCCTCTACTATCCCAACAGGTGCTGTAGGGCAGCATATACATGGGATTGTTGGCAGTTTAGCTTTTGTGGGCTGCAGTGAGAGGGCAGCAGCATCCTTATATACCCTTCGTATGTTCATGTGGGTTGCTTGAATCTGGGGCAGTAAGAAATGTCATGAGTAGAAGTAGAAAATCTCTTCAGGAGTTGTTGGTTAATTCTCAATAAAATGTCACTGAGTTACTTAAACTCTCGCTCTGCTTACATTTCTGTGCCCTCTGACTCCTAATAGATGGTCTGGTTCAGAGCTTTTCTTGGGTACCAGCAGACGAGTTCCTTATAAGTAGTGTAGTCACTGAACAAATGTGCTGAGATACTAACATGGTAGCTGTGTAGTTGAGGTGATGATTTTGCATAAAAGGTACGGTACACTGTTACCACCAGCCATAGTACAGCTTTCTGCTGTTACATTTGTCAGATTTAATTCTTCCATGTCTTGGGATCCTAGCAGTTATCTTTGTTATTCTTCCCTGTTACTTTGAGACAGGAAAGGAGGTGTATTTGTGTCTTCTTTTCCCTCTTCTGCAGTGTAAGAGGAGCTCCAGTCAAAGTGGACTTGGATAGCAAGTCTGTGTTTTAAAATAACGTCTGACATGACAGACGGAGCCCCATAAGACGCCCCCTCACCAGCAAAGCGCTTTTCATATGTGGGTAAGATAACCATATTTCATGAGTCACTGGAAAACGTCTCTGCCTCCTCCTGCAGTAGAGAGCAAGGTGTTGAAAAAGCTTTGTGGAGAAGCAGTGCTAAGCAGGCAAGCCTTATTTTGTCATCTGTGTTCTTCTACTTGGGATTACGCTGTTAATCTAGTGTCTGAGCACTGAATTTACTCATGAAATCTAGACTCAGCTCTATCAAACACTTAGAGAGGAGTGCCTTGCTCAAGATCATGCAAGATCTCTGATTTTCTATAGATGAGATGCTAATTTTTATCCTGTGTTGTTGCTTGTTGGTGGCAAGGAAGAAGAAAGAGCCTCTTGATGCTGGATGAAGATGCCTTACAGTGCTTTGGGCTAGCATCCAGGAAATCTCCAGAGTTTTCAGGGGGATGTGTGATAGGAAAAGTTTAAGAAGAAGGAAGATACAGAGATGTGAGAAGAACAGGTGAAAAAATAGACTAAAGTGGGTGGAGAAAGACAGGAGGAGGAGAAAAATTCTAATTGAATGATCACAACATACAGAAGGAGGTACAAGGTATAAAGCGGGATATGAAATACCTTACACTTAAGTTACTATGTTTGCAAGAGTATGTAAACCAAAATTAAAAGGAAACCTCATCTTTGACAAAGAGAGATTGTAGGCTGAAGACTAGAAAAGATACGTCTCTGTGTCAAAGGTCTCGAATGCATGCCAAGGGAACCTAGGGATGAGATGAGAAGACACAAGGTGCTCTGTCTGCTTAAACAGTGTATAGGCTATGGTGATACTGTATTAAATTAACCTAAATAAACCAGGACCTTAAATCCTACCTATCTACAAGTGAAACTTAACTCATAGTTTAAATCTTCAATTTAAATTTTGTAAAACTTTGCCTTAAACTAAACTGAAGCATTATGTACAGTAGAAGACAACAGGGAACACTTTAGCGAACTGGGCATCCACTTATTATGGGAGTAGATGGGATGCCTCCAAGGGTGCTGAGGTAGGTGGCTGATGTCGCTGTGAGGTTTCTCTCTTATTTTGGAGAGATCATAGTGATTGGAGAAGTTTCATGATGACTGGAAAAGGGCAAACAGTATGCCCAGTGTCAAGAAGGAGAAGAAGGGAGCACCTGAGGAATTACAGGCTGGCCTGCCTGACTGCAGTCTTCACGAAGACTACAGAGAAAATCCTCCTGGAAGCCATTTCCAAGCAAATAAAGGACAAAGATGAGATTAGGAACAGCTGAGATGGGTTTGCCAAGTGTGAAATGTGTGTGACTGCCTTTTGTGATAAGTGATTCTGTAAACAAGGGGAGAGCAGTGGATGTTGTTTGTATCGACTTTAGCAAGGCTTTCTGTATGGTTTCTGTAGTGTCCTTTAAGCCAAACTGGTGAGATGTGGTTTGGATAGGTGGATGGAAGACTGACTGGACTGCCAGTCAGTACAAGGTCCACCTGGCAGTTGGTAGCTAGTGGCATTTCTCTGAGGTCAATACTAGGGCTGATGGTACTTTATGCCTTACTGACAGAGGGGGACGATTGGACAGAACATGCTGTCAGCTAGTTTGTGGGCAGCATCTAACTGGGAGAAGTAGCCGGTGGGCTGGAAGGCAGGACTGCTCTTCAGATGGACCTTGCCATGCTAAAGAAGCCGGCTGACGGGAACCCTGTAAAATTCAAAGGCAAATGGAGAGTCCCTCCTGCACCTGGGCAGACTGGAGCCCTGCAGCAGCCCAAGCTGGGAGCTGGGCTGCCCAGAAAGCAGTTTTGTAGGAAAGGCCCTGCAGTCCTGGCAGACAGCAAGCTGAGTGTGGGCCAGCAGTGTGCTCTTGTGGTGAAAGACGTCAACTGCATACCGAGTCCTGTCGGCAAAACTGTAGGCAGCAGGCCGAGAGAAGGGGTTTGCTGCTTCTTGCTGTTTGTGAGACCGTTTCTGGAGTACTGTGTTCAGTTTTGAGCTCCCCAGTACAAGGAAGACACTGCTGTACTGGAGCAGGCTGGCTGGCAGTCCACCAAAAAAATGAAGGAGCCAGAACGCACGATGTAAGCAGAAAACTGGTAGTGAAACCAGAAAAATGGTTTCTTCAGCCAAAAAGGAAAAGCTTATGGGAGATTGTCTTGCTGTCTTCAATTATCTGACAGGCGGCTGTGGAGGGGACAGAGCCAGGCTCCTCTGAGACGCAGTGGAAGGATGAGAAGCAACAAATACTGGCTGGAGCACCAGGAATTCCTACTTGATGGAAGGAAAGAAATCTTCACATTGACGGCGATGGAACCCTGGAGGAGCAGGAGGCTGAACTAGAGAAGTCCTGGGGTCCCTTTTAGCTTGAGTTACTTTGTGATTGGCAGGCTTGACAAGAGGTGGGAGGGTGTTGATACAGCATTGCAGAGAGCATCAGTGGTCATTGACCCATTGGTCATTGCCAGTAACTATGGCATAAACATATTTCCTCCATCTTTAAATTAGTCAGGCTGTTCGCCCATGCTGATTGTCTTAGATCACAGTTTAGAGTCTCACTCCTGTGTTGGTTACAAACTGTTTAATGTTTTTTACACAAGGTCCTAGTTACTTTCTGGTGGTTTTTTTTTTCCTGTTTCCAATATATGGTGTTTTGTTCTTCAGCATAAAAATTCCTTTCTCTCTCTAGTTTTCACTTTGCTGGTAGGTTATAAAGTTGTGCTTGTTGCATAATGGGTTTTTCTTACGCTGTTTAATTCAGCCTGCAGGTTTGAGTGGGAAGAGAAATGCATGTTAAATCATTTAGTGCGAGCTAATTTTCTTAAGGATTTTTATTTCTCAGAAGTTGCATGTTTTCAGGGGCTTTAGATTAGAAATATATATATATAAAAAACAACTGCTTCTTTACCTGTGCACACTGAGAATACAGAGAAGCTTTTTGTTTAGGGATTTCTTTCAATGTGATTATCTGCCTAGACATGCATCTTACATGTTGCAAACATACATTCATCTCCTATTTCTATGACAGTGGTAATTAAATGATAATTAGCACCATATCTGAGAGCTTGGTTTTAATTTAATACAGCGTATCTTCGCAGGTGGAGAGATTCTGGTTTAAACTTCAGGTCATTTCTCCTTGATGAAAGAGGTTTTCATAACCAAGATTTAAAGCAAAGAGCCAGGCAATGTTGTTTTCCTCTTGGCTTTATCTGCAGCTGGCTGCTTGTGTTACCTTATGTGTCTTCCTAGTGAATGTTCCCTGGAAAAAGACCTTGTGTTTTTCCCTCTGTACTTTTGGGTCATCCCGCCAAATTTACAGTCCTGTTATAACAATTGAGATCATTTGGGAAATGCTGGTATATAGAGATAATTTTTTCTGGGTTTTCCAGGGATTTCTCCTGGTGAAAGGTGCTGTCTTTGAAGTATCTGCATTTATACAGTCCTTAACACAGCGAGACTCTGATTCATGGTTACAGCTTTTACATCATGTTATATCTGAGACAGCTGGGATGTAGCTAACATTTTCTTTTTGCTAGATTTAGTTTTATTGAATTGGGTACTTTAAAGTTTACTAAGGTAAACTCTGACTAAAAAAAAAACCTTTTTTTTTTTTTTTCTTTTTTTAAATCAGGAGTCAACCTGAAGTGGCAGCTTCATTATTAGACTCAAAGAAGAATTTTTATAAGATGAAACATTTGCTAGCAGTTCATGATATTTAATTTTTGCAGCCTCCTTGGCCTGTCAATGAAAAGAGCAATGGATCTGGAGGCTACTTTCTGGAGAAAACTCTGAAGAGCCGTTTCCTGAGCATGCCTTCCTGAAATACAAATATCTAACATATGCTTAAGTTTATGTACCCTGCCTTTTGTGAGTAATACAAAATTGATGTAACTGTATAAATGTGTGAATAAAATTTTCATTCCCGAATAGGCAGATTTCCAAGATGTTGTATGGAAACATCTTTGTTACCAGCCTACATACAGTCCAGACCACCGAATTAACAGCTTTTGAGATTTTACTGACTCGTTACATAGCTAACAACCACATGGCCTCTGCAGTGCCAAGAACAAACTACTCGGACGCTTTTAAGTCTGTTATGCCAAAAAGAGAGCATCTCAGTAAGCCAAGGGGGTAGTTCTCTTCTGCTTCAGGCACTGTATATTTTCAACTAACTGCTGTGCTAACGCAGGCAGACTCTGGGTTTGAGCCACCATGCATGCTTCAGAGCAGCAGTGTGTGAGTGCTGGAAAATGCTGCTGTTGTCTGATTGTTTCTTTGCTTCTCCTCTCTCCTGAACATTGCAGAAATGTGTTTAACTGTGCCCAGTGGCATTTTTGGAAGGATTACTGATAAACCCGGCACAGTCTCCCCATCATCACCAAGGATTTTGCTATAGGCCATGTGAATGGCCGTTGCTGAGCCGCTGGGTGGCATCACTGCATCATTTTGGGGTTCATGGGTGATCCACTCTTCAGGAACATCAGAAACATGGCAGCTGCCCAAACAAGAAGAATGAGCAGGAGAGCTCACTTAGATAGTTTAGGAACAAAAACATTAGCTGTGCTATTGTAGTTTTTCTCTGGTACTTTGTATTAGTTTAAGTAATGCTTGCTTCTATCTTTGATGTTAGTACTTCATACTGTTCCATTCATGCAAAACTGATAACACTGATTAAATCAAATGTAGCATACACTCACCCATGCACATAAACAATGCCAATGTTAATGCTGGAAAAAATACCATGATTCTGTTGCTGAACATTGCCATAGTATTTACCCTACAAAGAGAAACCTTTATCAGACTTTAGATGAAAAGAGACAAAGATGCAGTTGGAAGGCTGTGCTAAGCCTTTTGCTTTCTAGTGGACTGAGGATAGTATTCTCAACATACATTTCAACAGAATCTATGTGTCTGTGTTTTTCAACATATATCATCTCAGTACTCCTGTGAGGTTATCATATCAGTTCTGCTGTTAGGGGAACTAAGATACAGAAAGGCTAAGGTGATTTGTACAAGAGCGCTTGGGAGGTCCTTCTGCAGATAATTCAGTCTAGATATCCTGACTTGTATCTTTGTATATGGACCATAAAAAAAAAAAGAATTTGGGGAAGGTTTATATTGATTTTGCCTATTGTGTGATCACCCCATGAATTAACAGTACTCTTAAAGCTCCTTCAAGGGTTGTATGTTTTTCAGAGGTGGAGTTTCTATTTGAGAGTAATCCTGTTCTTGAAAAAAAAAAAAAAGTATTCTATAGTTGCAGCCTATAGTTGGGTTTTTTTCTGTCCCTTTCTTTCCCCACCCCCCATTTTAATTTAAGTTCCCTTTAAAAACTGTCTGTATGGTCTTTTTTTATCTTATGTCTTCCAGAACAGTTTAATTGGGATGATTATCTGAAAGAGACTGAATCAGTAGCTGCCCCTCTACATTGTTTCAGACAGGTATGCCAGATACTATTCTACAAGTGTGTGTGTATGTATGCATGTTATGGGGTGATCCTAGAGCAACTTTTATGTTCAGACTGCTTGCAAACTTTCCATTTGACTTCTTTTGATCTCTAGTTATCAGTAGCTTACAGTTTTGGCAGATGCTAGCTACTGAAGTTTTTTATTACCGGTTTCTGCCTCAAGCCAGACTTTGAGGGTTTCATTAAAATTGTAGCTTCAGACTCTGTTTTCCTTTTAAAAAAGACTAGTTAATGAAAACAGATAGTCTTATCAGAGTTCAAAAATATTTTCTACTTTTTTCAGTAATCTTAGAGGTACAGTGGTTTTAGTGAGAATTAAAATTTGGCTGATCGTCAGAGGAAGCTTTCTCCTGCCCCATTTCTGAAAGAGTCCTTTCAGTTCTGGCTAGCTACAAGATGTATCTGTGTGTATGTAGTAGGGTTCATTCACCACTTCTTTTCTGGATCTCTCAAATATGTTTAATTTTGTCTCTTTCTGAGCAGAGTGCTTTTTACTAAGGAGTAACAGATATTGAAGTTAAAATAAATCAAGGGGTATATATGGGAATACAAAGAAAATACTGGATTTATAGTGAAGGGTGTTTAATGTACTGTCGTATATTTTACATTGTGCCCTGCAAATTTGATTCTGCCCCATCCGATGGTGTGGTATGTATTTGCAGATGCAGTTTAAATCTGCCATCTTGTGTGAGCCAACAACCTCCCTGGAGGCCCTCCCCAGAGGGCCCTCTGGAGACTGAGTCGACCTCTGCAGGCATCTTTCTCTGTAGATGGAGCTGGGGCCAGTATTTTCCCCAGTTGAGTAGTATCTTAGCTGCGTAAAGTTAAATAGGAGGAGTTTTGGTCTCTATGCCTTCACTGTGTTAGGAAGATAGATGCTGAAGGAATTGGATAGTTCAGGTTGGTAGAACTGTAATAGGTGTGACAAGCAGTGCATGTCTAGTTTAGTGGATTGGGCATGTTCAGAAAGGTATCTTCTAGGGTTTCTTGGTAGTCTGATGGTACTGTAAATGATACTGGCCTCCAGCGTGGACCGAACAAAAAGCAACATGAATGGAATAGTCTGAGGAGGAGAGGAACTGTCACTCAGTGAATCTGAAATAGTTGCAAGAATGGAGAATAGGGAGAGAGAAATGCAGGTAGTACCATTTCCTTGCAGCAGATCTTGAATCTCAGCTTGCTCTTTGCAGATGAGGATAAAGGACAAAGAGCCCCTCACATTCTGCTTTCAATGGCAGATGGCCAAGTATAGCAGTGGCTATAGCTCTGTCTGAGTGGACCTTCAGAAATTAATCCTACAGTATGTGTTTTTCATAGTGGATACCAGCTCAAGGCAGAGACCTCAAACTCTGCTTGGGTAGAGGCAGAGGGCAGTAGCGTATCCCTAGATCATTCTGAGGTTACTTCCATATTCACAGACCAGAGACCACCATGACCAGAGTGTATGCTCCCGAGAGATGTAGCTACTGCAGAAAGCTGCTCAGAAGCCTTTCCTCGTGCCTTTCTTGCATCTTCCTCTTCCCTCCTAATGCTCAAGAGGTCCAAACTGAACAACTGAGTAACGCCTTAAATAAAGACGCTTAAGTGACATACATGGACTGGGAGAGATAAATCTGAGTGACCTGAATTGTTTAAGGAGTGTGTGGGTTGGAACGAAGAGCTTTAATTTCTGTGCATAGCAAATTTCAAAACAATTTACATATGCAGACTGCCATTTTTTTCCTAAGACCTTTAGGTAGAAAGTTACATGCAGTGTTAATTAGTGCAGAGGCAGCTCCTTTCACTACATAATGTTTGCAGATTTCAGAAACTAAAGTACTTGAGCTTTCTGTAGAACTAATTTGACTTTTATTGGGTGTCGTGGTTTAACCCCAACTGGCAAATAAGTACCACCCAGCCCCTTGCTCACTCCCCCTGGTGGGACGGGGGAGTGAATCAGAAGGGTGAAAGTGAGAAAACTCATGGGTCGAGGTAAAGACAGTTTAATAGGTAAAGCAAAAGCCTCACACTGCTTCCCATCGGCAGGCAGGTGTTCAGCCATCTCCAGGAAATCAGGGCTGCATCGTGTGTAATGGTGACTTGGGAAGACAAAACACCATCACTCTGAATGTCCCCCCCTTCCTTCTCCTTCCCCCAGCTTTATATGCTGAGCATGATGTCGTATAGTCTGGAATATCCCTTGGGTCAGTTGGGGTCAGCTGTCCCGGCTGTGTCCCCTCCCAGAGCTTTGTGCACCCCCAGCCTGCTCGCTGGTGGGGTGGGGTGGGAAGCAGAACAGCCCTTGAGTCTGTAAGCACTGCTCAGCAATAACTAACACATCCCTGTGTTATCAACACTGTTTCCCACACAAATCCAAAAAGTAGCCCCATACCAGCTACTGTGAAGAAAATTAACTCTATCCCAGCCAAAACCAGCACATTGGGTTACACATGAATTGTACGTGTTCCTATCACTCTGTGTAATGCAAAGAAATATACTGCTGTGGCCAGCCACAAAACAAATAGCAAAGAGAAGCATAATTTGACAATTATATCTAGAATTTGTGACCTGTGGGAGTTCTACAGAGTTTAAATTTTGTAGTAATTAAAAATAACCCGGGGAGCAATAAATTAAAGCCTCTGCCATGAATTAAGATACAGACACAGACAGCTAATGGAAATGGATTAAAGTATTTTATCTGTTGCTCTAAGTTGTTTATAATTACTACTTAAAATTTTGATGCATCCCCCATACCTTTCTCTCACTCTGAAACTTTTTTTCCAAGCAGTTGAAAATGTTAAATAAAAAAGCTCAGTCCCTTGTGGTTTGAACAGACCTTAAAATGAGGCTGCTACTGAGCAGGTTTTGTTGTTTTGCTGTAAGGATGGGCTGGCATGGAAGAGCTACCTTTTTAGTAGAATGCCTTGAGTTGTTGGTATTTAAACAAGCTAAACTTTTCTACAAACAAATAAACAAACTCCCCAATTTCTCAATTTCAGTTGCCTTTCATGGTTGTAGAAAATAACAGCTTGACAAGCAATATCCTGAAATTTAATTGCCCTTTAAATTTAATATGCTCAGGCTCCCCTTTCAGACAGCCTGCTGTCTGAATGCAGCATTGGCAGATGCTACGCTCAGTGTTCACTGAATATTGCTCGATTCTTTGGGTTTGGGGCTCGGGCTCCTCCAGGGCTCCTGCCATTGATCTAGGGTGTGCTGTCAATAGTGTACCTGCACACCATAGCAGGTAGAGCAAGATGTATTCTAAAGAATTAAATGTGGTGGAGACTATGTCACTAACACTTCTTGCGGTTGCAGATTTCTTCAGCCTTTTCCTGCATACCTGGACAGATAAGTTCGCCCTCATCTGCTTACTATGGGATCCCTACCTGACCTGGTTAGGCGGGCAGGAGAAGGAACACAGGAGTCTTGCAGACGTGAATGCCAATGGTTTTGGTTTTTCTACTGTATTAGGATTCAGATTGTGTTAGTCTGTATGGGGTACTACTGGGTTTAAATATCATGGGGAAGGCTGCCTACAGTCCTTTGTGTCTGTCTTCAAGAGCAGCTTTGTACTTGAGTTGCAGGAAAGGGCTGCCAGGGTGGTAGGAGAATAGTCATCCTCTCCTAAGAGAAACTTCAGTGCTTGGCTTATTTAACTTGTTGAAAGAGTACTGAGAAAGGGTGGGGTTGCCCCCTGTAAATACACTGTAGATTTTGTTGTTATTTGCAAAGGTGCAAAAAGAATTAAAGTTAAATGATACTGTTGGCAAAAATTTCCATTAATAAATTTAGGCTGGAAAATGAGGAGACATCTAAAGAGAATAGTGAGAGGCATTCAGTCCCAGTTTTGAATGTCATCAGATGATATTGCCTGCAGTACTACAGTAGGCAAGTAATCAGACTGCGATCCAGTCAATCTCTGCCAGTAGTGTATTGATACATGAGTAAAAAATATTATTCTTCTCTTTTGTTCATCTTTAGCTTGTGACAGAAAGTTCTGCTCAGACCAAGTTGCATTCGAAATGTTCCTTTTCCCTGTGCTAATTAAATTGGCATTTCATTGTATGTGTATATTCAGTTTTCTGTGAATAAGCACAAGCTGCAATTTTTGTCTTAGCACAGAACTTTTATGTGACTTCAGGACTGTGTTTTCTTTCTGTAAAATGCAGTTAACACTAACTCCTTTTTCTGCCTTCTTTCTTTGTATTGTAAGCTTTTTTTTTTTGATGCAGAAACGCTTTCTTGCCTTGAGCTTTTGTAGTGCCTAGTGCAGTAGGGTCCAAATTTTGTTTACATTTCCAAGATATTCCTATAATGAGAGTAATTATTTCGTTTGAATTGAAAGCTAATAAATCTTGTGGGTGGTTTTTTTTTTTTTGTGGGTTGATTTGGGGTTTTTTTTGAGTTGAATGTCATGTTTCCTAATGTACTTGTTTTCCATTCACTTCAAGTATTAATCACTGTTCCCCTATCTTTATGTTCATATCTTTGTCAGGATTCCCTTGTTACCCTTCTTAGCGTGCTTATCTTTTTAGAAATCAGTCATGTTTATGCAATAGGAACATCAAGTATCTGACTTGTTGTTAAACACTTACAAGTTCAAAGGCTTCTTTATATTTACCATTGATATGATATGTTTGGATGAATGAAAGCTGTATATTGAACTGGCTGGTAAATTTAGCAATACTACAACAATAAGAAAAAGTCTTTTACCTTTTATTGTAGTCTAGAATTCCACCTACGAATGATTTCAAAGTTGGCATGAAACTGGAAGCCCATGATCCTCGCAATGTTACCTCGGTTTGCATAGCTACAGTAATTGGAATCACTGGTGCCCGGCTAAGGCTGCGGCTGGATGGAAGTGACAACAAAAATGATTTTTGGAGGCTTGTGGATTCTTCGGACATACAGCCCATCGGGACCTGTGAAAAGAAAGGGGGCATGCTCCAGCCTCCACTTGGTAAGAAACAAAGCTTCTGAACTAATGTGTGTGGAGTATTGCTTTCATTAAGTCCATTTTACCTTTCTGTCTGGGCAATTTCAATGGTACTAACATTTCACCAATCCATTATTTAATTGAAAAAGAGGTAAGCAAACTAATTCAGGCTAAGTGAATTGTGGCTGCTTCTTCTTTTTTGGATTCTTTTGACATAAGAATGAGCAGAATAATTAGTTTTGACTTCTGTTATTTTTTCAAAATAGTCCTTTAATATTAAATGGGAGTGTCTGACAGCTTTCTTAATGATGAGATACACTGTCATGTGCCCACTCATTCTATAAATGTTACCTCACACACACCTTGTCTTACCAGTGCATATGGATACAACGTTTTGCTTGATGCTGTGTGTGCTCCTTTTAGGAGACCTTCGTAAAAACTGGGGAAAGTTGACTTGCCTTTTTCCTCCTCGGTAAATCCGAATGGCCCACCAGAAGGTGCTTACTGGTAACGAATCTGTGAAGCGCTCCGCAGGGCTGCAGGAGGTGCATCAGTTCAGACAGTCTGATGTTTTCTTGGGCACTGAGCAAACTGGTTGTGGTCTGGGAAAGGCAGCATAGGATGGGTTAACGGCGGTATTGCAGCATTCCGCTCTGAAGCAGGAAAAATAGCACTCCAGAGCTTTAGCAAACTGCAAGCTTATGTTGTATGTGATTCTCATCTCCTCAAAGCGACACGTGTTGGGGGATGTCTGATCAGTTTGTCATGACTAGTTTGTGAGCACAAGGAATGCTCATGAACAAGGTGTAGCCTTCCTGTGCTTAGAAATAGTAGGCAGTATTTCTTGCCTTCCATGAGCAATACGGGTGACAAGGTTATGTGTCTCCTCAAACTGAGAAATAGTGCTTGGGCTTAGTTTTATTGAAGAAGTTTATTAAATGGGGAACTGTACAGAGGAATTCCTTGCTATATGATGAATAGTCAGAGGTCATTTTGACTAACTACTAGGGGTAGTAAAGTGTGATATCACCTTTCTTTACTGTGATTAACCTGTATATTTAGATCTGCATTCTTGTACCATTTTTGTTATAGATTAAACTTCTAGGTGTGGAAATCTTTAAAGAAACACATTTTTTTCAATTTGGCCTGAAAATAGTTCTACTTTTAAAAAGGAGGAAAAATAATGACCAAAATTTATCTTAAATCACCAGCCCCCAAAGCTCCCACAACAGCAATACCCCCCCAACCCCATTATCCTGTTACCTTCTGTAATTTTTAGATGAGACAAGAAATAATGTTCTTAATATAAGAAACAAACTGTAAGCAGAAATTGGTTACTACTGGTTTCCCATCTTATGGTTATGAACCTACTTCTGGTTTGGTGTCATCACTAACTCCTACAGATTCCTCATCAGAGGTTTAGTGAAGATAGGTATGCTTTCTCTTAGTAGCTTCTCAAAAGACTTGTCATCCGTATTTGCTAACAACTTTCAGTTCTGTTTGAAAGGTGAGGTGAAAAGTACACCTGAATTCACTACAGTATGAAACTTGACTTGCTTGTAGAGAGGCAGACAGATGCAGGTGCAGTTGACATAACCATTAAGACACTTCACATAGATTAGAAGGGTAGATTTTTGTGCTGTTGTGCTGCTTCAGAAACACAAGCAAAGCAATGCAACCAGCGTGCCACTCTAGAAAAATATTATTTGGGATAGATAGATACAGTTTGAGCCCAGAAGGGCTTCTTTTCCTTCTTTCCTGTGGATATATAGAGGTATTGAATAAAAGCACTTGAAATTCTTGACACCAGGGGGAAAAGATTCTAATTTTTTTTTTTTTTGAGAAGTTACCAGTTTAACCTCTCTGAAGTTCTTGGTATAACCATGTAGAATGAATGCAGTGATACCATTATGAAAGAGGGTTGTAATAGAGAAGAGTATATTGATTCCTTCAGCTACACATAAGTACGGTTTTAAATATATGGTTTCAGTTCAGGAGCATAGTGCTTTTTAAAATGAGTTTCTAAACCAGTCTGATGAATAAAACAACTCTGATTATGTGTAATGGGGCCAGTTGGTGAATTAAGAAGAGAAACTTTCCATGATCATCAGTAGAAAGGTTGATGCCTTCTCTTTGGATACTGTTTCTTACTCCTATTTGATCAGGCTGCTTGTAGTACAGAACCTAGCAAGCAGCTGTTTCCCTGCACCCAGGCATGTAAGTTTACCTGTCCTCCTAACAATTGCTGGTTATTCAGAGAAGAATGCAAGTGCCATTATTTTGTCCCTCCTGCCCTAGATTTTTCTAGAGGTAGGCTAAATTCCAGCAATCAAACATTCTGGCATACCTAGCTAAATTTTTGAAAAAGCCTTTTTGGCAGTCTTACAGCATCCTGTTCCTGGGCAAAGCTGGGAGCTAATTGGGTGTGTAATTACCTCCTGTTAGACATTTAAGCAACTGATTATATTTTTTTTTTCTGAGTAGTGGGGAACCTTCTGGATACTAATGTTCTGGTTCTATCATAATAACTAGCTAAAATAGTCCCTCCTACCTGATTTTTATATAGGTTTAATTATGCCTGTTATATAAGGGTTTTGATAAAGTGGTTAATGTAGCAAAAGGTTCCTGTTCCAGCCTCTGTTTTTTCATAGGTGAGCTTTTTTGTTGTTGAGAGCTCAATGTTCTCAAAAAATTACGTTGAGGATAAAATTTTCTCTGGTTTTACCAGGACAACTTAAAGGCCAAATGAAATTAATTGAAACTGTTGTTTAGTTGTCACTCCTTGTATATGTCTTTTCTGGGCTAGCTGGTTAGGAATATTGATTTTCAGTAACCACACATGTTTAGGTTGCATAAAGACTACGATATCAAACCAGGACTGGTAATCAGCTCAGCAGCCCTCAAATTATGACACCATTTATCAAATATGAGTTTTGTATTCATTTAGGTGTTGCGTGGGTAGTTCCAACTTGAAACCTGTTTATTCAGCTGAAGACAGCTTAAAGCTACTAGTTAAAGAACCATTATAACATATAATCCAGTTTTAGATGACTTAATGATTTAACTGATCAAGAATTGCAGGTATTTTCCACCTTTCTAGTTACTTTTTTTTTTTTTAAGAGAATTGTCAAGGCTGAGTTACGAGGGAACTCATCAGTTCCTGGCAGATTCTGATTTGCTTTGTGGAAAAACTTCTGATTTGCTCTGTTATGTCTGTTTTTCTGTAGAACTGTGCCAGACATATAACTGCTAAAGATGTAGAAAAAATGTCCACTCTGTCTGTTATCTTACTCATTCCTTTGAAACATCCATTTGGAAAGCGCAGAAAGCAAAATGATTTTTTTTGTTTTGTTTTGTTCCTTTTTTAACTGGGAAGTAGTTGATTCTGAGGGAAGATTATCTGGAATAAGAATGTTTTCAGCCAAACCTTTGTTCTGCTTGAATAAGGTAGTTCATCTAAAGAAATCTGATTATTGTTTGTGCTTTTTATTCACTTATTAATGAAGAATATTAAAGTAGAAACATCTTCCAGTTTATGTTTTCCAATATGATACATTCTTTTATTAAAATAATTCTATTTTTTTCTTATCTTATGTGTTTGGTTTTAAAGGCTATTTATTAATTTATTTTAATGGGGGAGGGAGAGAAACCGATTGTTCTTTTTTTGTCTGTGGTCTGGTGAAAGAATTACAAGAGCCTCAAAAATAGAAAGATATCTCCTCAGTAAATGAGAGAAACTGGAGCAGAGGATGTTGTTTTAGAATGAGACCAAAAAGCAGACCTGAAAAGTAAGCTAGGCGCTTTTGATGGGAAAGTTCCACTGGACCAGGGACTGTGTGGGACAACCTTATGATCTTCTGTAATAAACTTGGATGTTTTAAGTCCTAGATGTTTATCTGTAGTATCACAAATTAGGATGACTGATTCTGCAGGCAAGTCACTTAATGGAAATGCATTGCACGGCTTTCTGTAGCAACAGCGACCCTGTTTATTCCTTCTTGGCTACTTTTATTTTGGCCAAGTCCAAAACAGAGGGAATGAGGCATTAGTAAAACAGACTTTATATCCTTCTCCTCCAATTTTATTTTACAAACTGAAAGTAGGGCTATTTGTTTGTTTGTTACTCAGGGTTCCAGATGAATGCATCTTCTTGGCCAATGTTTCTCTTAAGAACTCTCAATGGAGCTGAAATGGCACCCGCAGCATTCTTTAAGAAGGTAAGAAGAAAGGGACTGCTAGTAAACAACTTTCCATTGACTGGTCCATGGTTACATTTTTTTAATGAGGATGTCAAGATATTACCCTGTTGTCTGCAGCACAGGAAGGCAAGACTATTATTTAAAATTACTTTGAACTGGACTGGCAAGCTACAAAGCTAGACAGGAAATGATCTGCTTCTAGTCCATTGAGATGGGCATCTCTTTTCCTGAGTTGAGACTTTAAAGTGTGGTCTGTTATTTAGAAAAATTATGTTAGCTCATTTTTTGTGTCTTGTGGATTTAAGATACAATGCATATCACATTTCTTAACAGTATCATATTCATGTGATTGTGCACAGGAGTGAAAACAAAATTTAGTGGGGAATAAGAGCCATTGGAATACAGTGGTGCCTGGAAAGGTTTTGTTAAAACGTTTTCATTGGGCACGTACTCATAATTTAAAATGTAGTTAGGAAGTAGTTGAAAATAGCAGAAAAAGCTGTTCATTGTTTTAGATATGACTCTTGAGTAAGTTACTGTGAAACATGAAAAATTATATAAAAACAACAGTAATGCTAAAATGACTTGTTAGTTCAATTTTTTTGTCGAGGTGTTAAAACCCTGCTGTTACATTGAGTGCCTTCATTTTTGATACTGAGAGTGATGTTGACATGTATGTCAGCAAATCAAACACTTCGGTTCAGACCTGTAATCGCATTGCTTGTGTGTTAACTTTATATAATTATTTTTTTTTTTTTTTAATATAAGGTAATATAAATTTTCTGAAGCATGATGAGCCATGCTTCCCTGTGCTAGCCTACCAGTATGTCTGAGATGGCTTTTGGATAATGAGGTTCCTGAGGCTGAGGTAGTAATTCAGGTTCCATCGGGTCACAACTCCTGCTGTGGGGGTACACCTATGCTGGTCACATTGACTCAATTTTTGTTTTTCTTTTGTCCACTTCAAATTGGTCTAAGGCCAACTGAGTTAACAGAGGCCTATAAATAATGTCCAATGGTAATGAATTTTTCATGAAGTAATTGGGAGGTGAAGCTTTTACCAGACAGTTATCAGTCCCCAGAAACACCCATTCCCTGAAAACCTCCTCTTCTTTATTAGCATGTAATAATTTCATTTTAGTGTCTTCGCTGTCTTGCTGCCCAGACATAATGTATTGGGTGCAACCTATTGCTTATGTAAATACTTCTAGCAAGGCCTTTCTGTCGTGGAGAATTTTGCTAATTATTCCAGCTGTGTTTGTAGGAACAGAATCTGGATTTTTATAATACATAAGAGCAAAAGCAAATCTGAAATACAAGTAAGTTTCCTTGAATGTCTACTATAACTTTTTGAGAGCAGTAAGTATGAGAAGTAAGGGTGTTGAAGAAAAATAGAGGGGTTTTTTTATTATTCTTTTTTAAGAGGCCACAGAAATACAAATATTCTACCACTCTTACTTTTGCAGGAGCCACCAAAACCTGTGCCAAACTGTTTTAAAGTTGGAATGAAACTTGAAGCTATAGATAGAAAGAACCCATACTTGATTTGCCCAGCAACCATTGGAGATGTTAAAGGAGATGAAGTTTTTGTTACATTTGATGGCTGGAGAGGAGCATTTGACTATTGGTGCAGATGTGATTCTCGAGATATTTTCCCAGTTGGATGGTGTAGCTTGACAGGAGATGCATTACAACCACCAGGGAACAATGGTAAGATGACCAATGATACTGCTTAATTATTTTTCCCCTCAATTACAGCAGAATTTTAAAAACAAGCTGCGTGTATGCAGATAAGACTGAAGATTTGATTTATGAGTAGCTGATGAGGATGAAATGTTAAATTTTCTTTATGTAGTTTAAAGCTAATAGGATAGTTTCTGGGAAACAATTTTCATCTGTTCATAGTAACTTTGGGAACATGTTTTATTTAATACTGCTGGGAGGGCTTTTGATAATCTCTAATTTTTGTGTGCTTGTGAAGAATCTTGGACTTAAACTAGATTTGCTGTTTGTATTATAGATAGTTAAATGCTCCTGTTTAATGATACTAATATATTGGCTGCAGCAGCACTTTATATTAAGCTAACTGCTAAGAAAGTAAAGTAGTCTTTGCTTCTGTGACAGTTGGAGCTTTAAACTATATATTTAGTGTTTCTTCCATCATACTCAAAAAATTCTGTTTTGAGGCTGCCTATTCTGAATGTTTTATCATCCTCATGCCTTTAAGGATGTTTGTACATAGGGTTATAAAGTCCCTTTAACTAATGGACACCGTGCTTTATAATGTACAGCTATCTACCTTAGAAAGAAGGGAGATGGAATAAAGAGGGATATCCCTGAATGTAATCCCTCTGCTACTCTGGGGACCTCCTGTCATGTTTCTGTAGTGTAAGGCTTTTCTGTCAAACTGTTTGGGTTCTTCTATCCTCACTCCCTTCAAATTTGACAGGAAGAGAGGTTTTTAAAGAGGGGAATGGTATTTTAATTAATTATTTTAATATTGTTGACCAGAAGAGTTTGTTCTTATGGTGAGCATTTTCACAGCTAGCTTTAGGTGAGTAAGGAATGAGTAGACCAGTATCACAGAACTCTCACTGGAAGTACCAAAGGAACAGAAGCAAGAAGGCAAGGAATCAGTCATTTCCTGCTCTCTCCATCCCCATTGTTCTTCTCAATCTTTTGCCAGCAGGTCAAGAACTGTGTGGAAAATCTAACTGAAATTAGATAAGGGTACCTCTGCATCCTTGCCCACACCTGCCTGTTTGTAGTTACTGTCTGCAGTTACTGCCAATGGTCATAGTACCTGTAATCTAGTTTAGTCTGTTTTAGCGGATTTCGGCAAGGGAACAACTATGTGTGTGGCTGGCCTGGCAGATGCAGGATGATCTGCCAATACAAACCTGGAGTGAGAAGGCAGGGGGAAGTCAGGTGAGGACAATCTATATTCGGTCAGAAGTCATCTAATAGGGACCGAGCTGACCTCAGTCTTAATGTTTCTGTGCGCCCAAACTGTAAACTGTCTTCCTCAGCTTCGTCAGAAGGTTGACCTTGTCTTGAGAAATCATGAATGAGATGTGTTATTATGGTAAGCTAATGACATTAACTGTGGTGAAATAAAATGGCTTTCTGCAGAAGGGGCTATGTAAATAAGTGGCATAAAATTTTAGAAGATATTTTTGTGGCAGTTTAGATTGCTGAGTCCAATTCCATCTTCTGGAAAGAAGTATTAAATTGTTTAGTCTACTCCAGTTTCACTGCTGGAAAACCAGCAGTATTTTGAGATAATAAGTTCAGAGTTTTTCTTGCCTGATTAGTGCTTGATAGAGATCAAGGAGTTTTTTAACAATTATTTAGTAAAGTTGATGATGTATTCCAGTTGTTCAGGTAATAAAACAAACAAAATTCTTGAGTATGTTCAAAGTTGCTGAAGAATTGAAACACCTCTACCCAGGTATTTTTCTGGTTTCTATTGCTTTGTTATGAAAAACAATAACACTTTAGGCATTAATAAAACCTGAAACAAGGTACTTACAGACTTGTAGTCAAAACTAAGAATTTTGGACATTTGATAGAAACTGAGGGTGGAGAGGTGCAGGCTGGGGATTTCATTATTTTTAATTCTAAAAGTGAGCCCAAGTTAACTGCGGTTTTATTAAAATTATGTGTGCTCCCTTCTTCCCTGTTCTGAGCATAAAGAATTTCTTTCAGTTTTGCTTCATGCACTTAATTTTTATGTGCTGTTTGTTCATATTATACGCACTTGTCAAATTTATGTAGCTGGATGAAGTATTTTTTGCTCTCAGGTTATGTTTTTTCACTGTTATTTGATCGCTTTTGAGCCATTAGAGAACTGTAATGATAGTCCTTTATTAAGATGTAAATAATAGCTTCAAGGAGAGTATAATCAAGTCATTTCAATTCAGAAATATGATAATGTTGTCAGGATTCTTCATTAAGTCACATTAACATTGACTACTCCTGTTAAGGAAGAAAGTATGACAGATACTATATTGTAGGGATTCACTTGAAATATTATAGTATTATTCTGGCCTGGACTTTTTTCTTGCGGGTTAGTTTAGTATTTCTGCCTTGAATTACCACAATAGAAAGTGAAAATAATTGACTGTGTGTGGCTTAGATTTCAGAGTGAATATGATGAAAAGTATTCTTGTTTTTTGTAACTACCTTTCCTGAAAGCATTTAAATATGTTAAATCACTAGTTAAAGGACTGAAAAAAAAACCCTCAGTTTTTGGTTAACAAGCAAAACCAATATCCTGCAATCTAAGTATGACAGTGATAAAGGATGCTTTAAATTTCATCCATACCTAGGACAACAATTTGTGCCATGAGACTTATATTTTAGGGTCTAATTTAGCCTTTTGAAAGAGAGATGAAATGCAGAAGGGAGGCGATACAAAAATTAGGGAAGATTTTATTTCAGCTGTTTACTGTCTTAGCCATTGCCCAGAGAGAATGTAGGACCTCTGTCATGGGAGGTTTTTAAGAACAGTTTAAACGCAGGCTTTTTACATATGGGTGAATTTATTCAGATCAGATTATGTGGTAAATTTAGTCTTTATAGCTGTATCTGCTGCAACTCACATTGGTTTCAGACAGATAAGCTAAGGAACTATGACATAATTAATAGAAGATAAAATGTAGAAGGTAGGTGAAAAGTTGGTTTGGACCAACTGTTTTTAGCATTCAGGCCTTAATCTTTGTGTTGATGTTTTGTCTTTGGTCCTGATCAGAAAATGTGACTTAAGTGGACCTGGCTGGGTGTCAGCGTGTGCATACAGTGGTATGAAATGTAGTGTTCAATATTTACACTAGCAAAAGCTATGCTTAGCTAATATTGTAGTTTGTTTCCTTAGAAATATCTCTGATACTAGTAATTTATGTTATGTATAGTTTGACAACGGTGCTTGATGTTGGCTTGGCCTGCTAGCCCAAGGTTAATATTTTAAGGATGCAGGAGATCGTTTTCTCTGTGTCTCTTGGTCATTTAGGTGCTTTTAGAGATGACTTGTCACTCAGGAGCATTGTTGTAAAGTTAGAGCTGGTGAAAGAAGTTGGCATGCTAATGTCTATGCTGGATCAGTCTGAAGGACCATCTGCTCTAGCAGGCTTTCTCCAGCAGTGGCTGAAAGCAGATGTCTGAAGAAAAGCATAAGCACATAGGAAAGAGGTTTGCGGAAGTATTCCTACTATCTGGCCGTCTACAACCCAGCACCTCCCAAGCCCAGAATAATGCTTTTATGCTGAGAACCTCCTGGAGGAGCTTGATCTATTTTGTTCATTTATATTTTGGAGCCATGCTGTAGTAAGGAGTTCTGTACTTGAGTATATGTTCTATGGAAAAGGAGATCTCTTTTTTTCTTGCTGGTAGTTCCATTTGTTTTCCTTGTGTTCTTCTACTGAAATAGCTTCTTGTACTTCCAGTACTTGTACAGGAAGAGACAGTAAATAGTCATTCCCTAATTACCTTCTTCATATCCATCACGATTTTGTAGACCTGTATTCTAGCTTCCCTCAGCTATCTGTATTCCAAACTTGTAAAATCCTGTCCTGGTTTGGTTTTTGTTGTTATGGGATCAGTTTAATTCCTCTGATCACCCTTGTTCTTCTGTACTGTTTCCATTTCAGCTATGGCATTTTTGAGCCACTGGACCCAGAAGTGCAAAGAAGACTTAGTGACATAGTGGTGGTTTCTGTTTTGTTTTCTGTTCCTTCTATAATTATTCATGAATTGGTATTTGGGATTTTTGGAATTCTACCGGGCAATGAACTAATACTGTAATAGAAATACTTATTTTAATTCTAAGATGTCATTTTTGTATACATCAGCTAATAGCCTGTCATTGATCACAGAAGCTGGATTATTTTGAATTGCTTGATACTGAATTTCATCTGTTACTTCCTCTGCTGAGCAACTGCTCAGCTTTGCAAGATCTATTTATACATCTTTACTGACTCAAATAATCGTTCAGCAGTTGTTACCGTCTCATGCTTTACTCTTGTCCTAGATCATATGTGAATCGAATGGCACAAGCCCAAGCAGAGATCTCATCAGGATTTCTCTAGAGTCCTCTCTCGACTGTGGAAACATGTCTGCTTATTCCTGGCCACTGTTTGGTACATTCCAAGAAATACTTGAGAAGGATCATGAGGATGTTCCCTCATACCCATTGCCAGCTAAGGATTTTTTTAAGAGACTGTGGTGTGAGATCTTGTCAAGCACAAATCCACAGACTTATCAATTGACTTTCCATTGTCTACTTGCTTATTGACTCCTTAAAAAAAAAATATTAATAATAGATTTGTGAGATGTGACTTTTCTCTACAAAAGCTATGATTGGTCCTCCCCCAACACATCGTATTTATCTTTGGGTTTCACTGCCTCTGTTCTGTACAAGAGTTCTTAGCAACTTGGCGAGTACAAACATTAGGTGTCCTGTCCATACCTTTCTGACTAGAGTGTTGGCATTGCATTAACCAGCTTTTTTAAGTCTCTGTACTTGAGGCAGTTTTAGGGGCAAACTTACACAGCACCATCAGTAGGTTTGACATTTCATCTTTTAGTTTCCTTAAAATTCCTAAGTGCTGTATGTCTTGCCAGCTCTCTACAGCTTGTTTTGTCTCTGTTTCCTGACCTCTACTACTGGTACTTCACATGAGGGAACTTGTTTCAGATCCCTGCGAAGAGGG